TATTATTATTATTATTATTACTGCTGTTGTTATTATTATTATTCCATTTTTTTCTCTCTCAAAAAGGACTCAACACAGAAGGACCAAAAGAATGTGTTGGGTGAAACCTGATAGTGTGGCCTAGTGGCTGAGCAACCCTGAGGAGGAAGGGACATTATTAATATTATTATTATTATTATTATTATTGTCGTTGTTGCTGTTATTAATATTATGATTGTATATATCCTGCTTTTTTCTCCCTTAAAAGAGACTCAAATATCTAAAATGTCATGTTATTAATAAAACAAGGACTAAAGGAATGTGCTGGGTGATACCTGACAGTGTATTATTACCATTGTTGTTGTTATTAATAACATACACACACATAAACGCACACATTCATGTACAGTATATACATATATATCCATGTGGGAGAAAAAAACACTCAAAGCTGCTAACAATGTCATGTTATTAATAAAATGCAATAAAACAAGTATTAAAGGAATATGTTGGGTGATACCTGACAATCTGGGCCAGTGGCAGGGGAATTATTATTTTTACTGTTGTTGTTATCAGTAATAGTAGTAATACTATTTACATCCTGCTTTTTCTCCCTTAAAAGAGATTCAAAGCTGCTAACTATGGCATGTTATTAATAAAACAAGCATTAAAGGAATGTGTTGGGTGATACCCGAGTGTGGCCTTGTGGCTGAGTTCCTGAGGACAGATCATTATTATTACGATTATTATATTATTATTATAATAATAATAAAAATGGAAAAGATGGACTAAAATAATGTGTTGGGTGATACCTGACAGGTATTAATAATATGCTGCTTTTATTACTGTTATTATTATTAATGGGCTGTTATTATCATTATTACTAATAGTAGGCTGCTTTTATTATTACCACTATTATTATTAACAATATCCCGCTATTACTATTACTATGCTGCTTTTATTATTAGTAATATTATTAATACTAACATGTTGCTGTTATTATTATTACTACCAAAAATACGCTGTTTTATTATTACTATTAATAATAACTACAGGCTGTTTTATTATTACTAATAATAATATGCTGCTTTTATTATTAGTATGATTATTGATAATACGCTGCTTTTATAATTATTAACAATATGCTGCTTTATTATTAACAGTATGCTGCTTCTATTATTACTATTGCCATTTTTATTTATTAATATTTTATTACTATTAATAACAATACGCTGCTTTATTATTACTATGATGAATAATATGCTACTGCTTTAACATTATTATTATTACCATGCTTTATTATTACTATTAAGAATATGCCACTGCTTTATTACCATTGCTATTAACAATATGCTGCTATTAATATTTGTTGACATTATTATTACTCTTATTATTTACAATACACTGCTTTATTACCATTATTATTAACAATCTTCTGCTATTAATATTTATTGACATTATTATTGCTCTTATTATTAACAATACGCTGCTTTATTATTATTACTATGATGAATAATATGCTACTGCTTTATTACCATTATTATTATTACTATTATTATTACCATGCTTTATTATTACTATTAAGAATAATATGCCACTGCTTTATTACCATTATTATTAACAATATGCTGGTTTATTATTATTACTATGATGAATAATATGCTACTGCTTTATTACCATTATTATTAACAATCTTCTGTTATTAATATTTATTGACATTATTATTACTCTTATTATTAACAATACGCTGCTTTGTTATTATTACTATGGTGATAATAAGATGCCTTTCAAAGCCACTATAAGAATAATATGCTGCTGTTTTATTACCATTATTATTAATAATATGCTGCTATTTATATTTATTGACATTATTATTACTCTTACTATTAACAATACACTGCTTTATTATTATTACTATGATGAATAATATGCTACTGCTTTATTGCCATTATTATTACTATTATTATTAATTTTTATCATTACTATTAATAACAATACACTGCTTTATTATTACTATTATTAATAACAATATGCTGATTCTATTAATGTTTATTACTCTTATTATTAACAATACGCTGCTTTATTATTATTACTATGTTGAATAATATGCCACTGCTTTACTGCCATTACTATTATTATTACTGTTATTATTACCGTGCTTTATTATTACTATTAAGAATAATATGCCACTGTTTTATTACCATTATTATTAACAATACGCTGCTTTATTATTATTACTATGATGAATAATATGCTACTGCTTTGCCATTATTATTACTACTATTACTATTATTACTATTCTTATTTTTAATATTTTATCATTACTATTTATAACAATACACTGCTTTATTATTACTATAATTAATAACAATATGCTGATTCTATTAATGTTTATTACTCTTATTATTAACAATACACTGCTTTATTATTATTACTGTGATGAATTATATGCTACTGCTTTATTGCCATTGTTATTATCACTACTATTATTATTACTATTATTATTACCATGTTTTATTATTACTATTAAAAACAATATGCCACTGCTTTATTACCATTATTATTAACAATACACTGCTTTATTATTATTACTAGGATGAATAATATGCCACTGCTTTATTAACATTATTATTATTATTATTATTATTATTACCATGCTTTAATTTTACTATTAAGAATATGCCACTGCTTTATTACCATTATTATTATCAATATGCTATTAATATTTATTGACATTATTATTACTCTTAATAACAATACACTGCATTATTATTATTATTATTAACATGCTTTATTATTACTATTAAGAATAATATGCCACTGCTTTCTTACCATTATTATTATTATTACTATTACTATTATTACCATGCTTTATTATTATGATGAATAATATGCCACTGCTTCATTAACATTATTATTACTATTATTACTACCATGCTTTATTATTACTATGATGAATAATATGCCACTGCTTTATTGCCATTATTACTATTATTATTATTACTATTATTATTATTACCATGCTTTATTATTACTATTAAGAATAATATGCCACTGCTTTATTACCATTACTATTATTATTATTACCATCATTATTACCAATATGCTGCTTTATTATTATTACTAGGATGAAAAATATGCTACTGCTTTATTGCCATCATTATTATTACTATCATTATTATTACCATGCTTTATTATTACTATTAAGAATAATATGCCACTGCTTTATTGCCATTATTATTATTATTATTATTATTATTATTATTATTATTACTATCATTATTATTACCATGCTTTATTATTACTATTAAGAATATGCCACTGCTTTATTACCATTATTATTAACAATATGCTGCTTTATTATTATTACTATGATGAATAATATGCCATTGCTTTATTAGCATTATTATTATCAATATGTTGCTATTAATATTTATTGACATCATTATTACTGTTATTATTAACACTGTTTTATTATTACTACTATGAATAATCTTTAACATTATTTTTATTACCATGCTTTAGTATTACTATTAAGAATAATATGCCACTGCTTTATTACCATTATTATTATCAATATGTTGCTATTAATATTTACTGACATTATTATTTCTCTTATTATTTACAATACACTGCTTTATTGTTATTACTATGATGAATAATATGCTACTGCTTTATTGCCATCATTATTATTACTATCATTATTATTACCATGCTTTATTATTACTATTAAGAATAATATGCCACTGCTTTATTGCCATTATTATTACTATTATTATTATTATTATTACTATCATTATTATTACCATGCTTTATTATTACTATTAAGAATATGCCACTGCTTTATTACCATTATTATTAACAATATGCTGCTTTATTATTATTACTATGAAGAATAATATGCCACTGCTTTATTACCATTATTATTATCAATATGTTGCTATTAATATTTACTGACATTATTATTTCTCTTATTATTTACAATACACTGCTTTATTGTTATTACTATGATGAATAACATGCTACTGCTTTATTGCCATCATTATTATTACTATCATTATTATTACCATGCTTTATTATTACTATTAAGAATAATATGCCATTGCTTTATTACCATTATTATTACTATTATTGCCATGCTTTATTATTACTATGAAGAATAATATGCCATTGCTTTATTACCATTATTAACAATGTCCTGCCATGAATATTTATTGATATTATTATTACTGTTATTATTAACAATATGCTGCTTCTAAGCCATTCAAATCCAAATAATGGAAATGGGTTTATATATCTGTGGAATGACTGGGGTGGGGCAAAGGGCTCTTGTCTGCTGGAGCTGGGTGTGAATGTTTCAACTGACCACCTTCATTAGCATTTGAAGGCCTGGCTGAGCCTGGGGGAATCTTTTGTTGAGAGGTGTTAATATGCTGCTTCTAAGCCACTCAAACCCAAATACCATCCATGGGAAGGCAGGAATATATTCCCCAGGCCCCTCGACCTCCCCCCCAAAGGCAACTCGGTGACAACCAGGAAGGCCCTCCAAGATGGCGCCGGATGGAGAAGCCCCCCTGCCCGGCCGGCCGGCCTCCCTCTCTCCCTCTCGACTAGGCCTCACTCAGTCACGACTAGGCCCCACTCACCTGGAGCTCGGCCCTCTCGGCCTCCCAGCGGCTCTTCTCGGCCTCGAAGCGGGCCCATTCGTGCTGGATGAAGTGCAGGATGCCGGGGAGGCTCAGCTCGGCGCGGCCCGAGGCGGAGGAGGAAGCAGAGGCCGGCTGCTGAGGCGGAGGGGGAGGCGGAGGCTGGTCTCCCCCCGCCGAGAAGGCCTGGCCCTGGGCTTGGGCCTGCTGCTGCTGCGCTCGGAGCCCGGCCTCCATTGGCGGCGGCGGAGGCGGAGGAGGCGGTTGCTGCTGCTGCTGCTGCTGCTGCCACATAGTGAGCCTCTCCGCCCGCGCGAGGGGGGAAAACCGAGCCAGGGGCCGCGCCGAAGGCCCACTTCCTGCCAAATTGTGAGCCGGAAGTGAGGCCTACCCACCAAGGCTCCGGCTACTGACTGGCTGGGAGGCAGAGCGAGAAGGAAAAGTTCCCATGGCAACCCGAGGTGAGCGCTCTGCTCCCCACCTCCTTCCCCCTCCCCGTCTCTCTTCTTTCCTGTTTCCTTTACTGCTAATTGTTCCTCTTTCTAGATCTTTTTCCTTTCTCCTTCCTTCGCTCGCCCCCTTTTTCTCTTTCTCAATGGTACGCTCCCAGGTTGTCTTGCCTTCAGGCGGGAGATACCATTCCAGCAAGAGGGGGGAATATGAAGACTTGGAAATGGTACGCTCCTAGCCAGGCGGGCGATACCATTTCAGCAAGAGGGGGGAATATAAAGACTTGGAAATGGTACGCTCCCCACGAGGGAGATACCATTCCAGCAAGAGGGGGGAGTATGAAGACTTGGAAATGGTACACTCCTAAATTGTATTTCCCCAGGCGGGAGATACCATTCCAGTGATAGGGGGAATATAAAGACTTGGAAATGGAACGCTCCCCAGGCGGGAGATACCATTCCAGCAATAGGGGGGAATATAAAAGGTTAGAAGTTTTCCCCCCTCTCTTATAATATGGAACGTTCCTATTTCTGTTTAGAACAGGAGGTGGGAGATACCATTTCAGTGGGAAAAGGGGGAGTGAAGGCAGTAAGGGGAAATAGGGAATACGACTGGAAGTATATGGAACGTTCCAATTTCTGTTTCTAAAGGGAGGTGGGAGATACCATTCCAGCAAGCAGGGGGAATAAAGGGTTGGAAGTATTCCCTCCTCTCTTATAATATGGAACGTTCCGATTCCTGTTTATAACGGGAGATGGGAGATACCATTCTAATGGGAAAAGGGGGAGTGAAGGCATCAAGGGGAAATAGGGAATATAAGGACTGGAAGCATCTCCCCTCTTTCTTTATATGGAACGTTCCAATTTCTGTTTATAATGGGAGGTGGGAGATACCATTCCAGTAAGAGGGGGGAATATAAAGACTTGGAAATGGTACGCTCCTAGGTTGGCTTTCCCCAGGCAGGAGATACCATTCCAGCAATGGGGGGGGAATATGAAGACTTGGAAATGGAACGCTCCAAGGTTGTCTTGCTTTCAGGCGGGAGATACCATTCCAACAAGAGGGGGGAATATGAAGACTTGGAAATGGTACGCTCCTAGGTTGTCATTCCCCAGGCAGGAGATACCATTCCAGTAGGAGGGGGGAATATAAAGACTTGGAAATGGAACGCTCCCCAGGCGGGAGATACCATTCCAGCAATAGGGGGGAATATGAAGACTTGGAAATGGAACGCTCCCCAGGAGGGATATACCATTCCAGCAAAAGAGGGGATATACAGGACTGCAAGTATCCCCCTTCTCTTTTTATATGGTACGTTCCTATTTCTGTTAATAATAGGACGTGGGAGATACCATTCTAGTGGGAAAAGGGGGAGTGAAGGCAGCAAGGGGAAATAGGGAATATAAGGACTGGAAGTATCCCCCCTCTCTTTATATAGAATGTTCCGATTTCTGTTTAGAACTGGACGAGGGAGATACCATTACATTGGGAGGAGGGGGTGAAGGCAGCAAAGAGAAATAGGGAATATAAGGACTGGAAGTATCCCCCTCTCTCTTTATATGGAATGTTCCAATTTCTGTTTAGAACAGGAGGTGGGAGATACCATTCTAGTGGGAAAAGGGGGAGCTGTGAGGGGTGTGCCTTTTCTCCACCACTACCCCTTTTTACCTTTCTCTTTGAAACGTTACCAGGTTCTTTTGCTTAAGCTGGGAGGTACCATTGGCGCGGAAAAGGGGACTATTTTTGTGAAGCACTATTTTTGGTTCCCCCCTTTCTTTCTCGGTGGAACTTTCCCACCGCTTTCTCTTAATGGAGATGGAAGGTACCATTGCAGCAGCGCGGGGGAGTTCACAACAGCATCTTCCCTTTTCTCTCCAATTCTAGGGAACTCTCCCATCTCATTCTCTTGCGGGAGATACCATAACAGAGGGGGAATAGTCCAAATAGTAATATGTATTTATTTACAGAGGATAAATATTAATATTTAATTTCAATATTATAACAAATAGTATTTATATATCGTGTCGGAAGTACAACTAAATATTAATACTATCTTTTTAATGTTTAGTATAATATTAATGCTTAGTATCACATTAATATTAACAATATGCCTGATATTAATATTAATATTTGCAAATATAGTATTACTATTTAGTTTGTGTCCTTTTTAAGGGCATATGCCGCGGCAATAAAAGCTGCAAAGAAAACCTTCTTTGCGGCCACTATTGCGTCTGCTAAGAACCGTCCGGCTGAACTGTTCCGAGTTGTCAGAGGCCTATTAAAACCCACCACTCAGGATGGGTGCCCTGATGACTCGGCAGCTCGCTGCGAAGCTTTTGCTCGGTTCTTCGCAGACAAAGTCGCTTTGATCCGCTCTGGACTGGATACCATATTAACGGCAGTATCTGAGGATGTAACACGAGCATCTGCTTGTCTGGTTTTGATGGATTCATTTCAATTGGTTCAATCCGAGGATGTGGACAAGGTGCTTGGAGGAATGAGAGCTACCACATGCATCCTAGACCCCTGCCCATCCTGGCTTCTGAAGGAGGCCAGAGGGGGATTGGCCGAGTGGGTGAAGGTGGTGGTTAATGCCTCCCTTCGGGAGGGCAAAATTCCAGCCAGCTTAAAGCAAGCTGTGATAAAACCGCTGTTGAAGAAACCATCACTGGACCCCACTCAATTCGTCAACTATCGGCCTGTTTCCAATCTCCCCTTTTTGGGCAAAGTCATGGAACGTGTGGTGGCCTCACAACTCCAGGCATTCTTGGTAGACACGGATTATCTGGATCCGGCACAGTCTGGCTTTAGGCCGGGGCATGGTACTGAGACAGCCTTGGTCGCCTTAGTGGATGATCTGCGTCGGGAGCTCGACAGGGGGAGTGTGTCCCTGTTGGTGCTGCTCGACCTCTCAGCGGCCTTCGATACCGTCGACCACGGTATCCTTCTGGGACGCCTCGCGGGGATGGGTCTTGGAGGTACTGTTTTGCAGTGGCTCCACTCATTCCTCGAGGGTCGGTCTCAGAAGGTGTTACTGGGAGACTCCTGTTCAACCCCACAACCTTTGTCTTGTGGGGTTCCTCAGGGTTCAATACTGTCTCCCATGTTGTTCAACATCTACATGAAGCCGCTGGGCGAGATCATCCGGAGTTTCGGAGTGCGATGTCATCTGTACGCAGATGATGTCCAACTCTGTCACTCCTTTCCACCTGCTACTAAGGAGGCTGTCGAGGTCCTGAACCGGTGCTTGGCCGCTGTGACGGTCTGGATGGGGGCGAACAAATTGAAATTGAATCCAGACAAGACAGAGGTACTCCTGGTCAGTCACAAGGCCGAACAGGGTATAGGGTTACAGCCTGTGTTGGATGGGGCCGCACTCCCCCTGAAGACGCAGGTTCGCAGCTTGGGTGTGACCCTGGACTCATCGCTGAGCCTGGAACCCCAGGTTTCGGCGGTGACCAGGGGAGCATTTGCACAGCTAAAGCTTGTGCGCCAGCTGCGCCCGTACATTGGGAAGTCTGACTTGGCCACAGTAGTCCACGCTCTGGTAAGAGGCTCAGCTGCAGACCTGCTCCAGGCCTGCCTGTACACCCCACCACATGCTCCCATTACACTCTCTGAGAGTGCATGTTTGGCGGGGCGTAGCAGCTGACTCCAGGGGCGGCTCGTCCATTACGCGAAGTAAGCGGTCGCAGAACACCTTTTTTTGCCAGGGGCGCAGAGGCGCTGCTGTAAATGCCCCTCGACCGCCACTTGAGGAGCACCACCTCAGCTCACAACAGCCCTAGCAGTCCGGGAGGAGCCTCGGCTTTCTTGCCTCACTGCTGGGCGATCCTCTTCCCAAAGGGGCCGGGCCCTTGAGCCTCGCCTAGCCCCTCTCGTTCCTGCTCCACCCGGCCACCGGGTGCGCGAGCAGAGCCGGTGCTCAATCGTTCTCCACGTTCGATCCCTTCCCCATGACCGGCTCCCTTTCCCAATCCCCCGGCGCTCCACCCGCCTCCTCTCCTCTCCCCAATCCGCGGGTGGGCCAGGGGCGGAGCCGCCGTGCCTGGCCCGCTTCGGGTCCGGAGGCGTGTCTGAAGACCCCAGCGTGCGCACCAAAAGTCGCCTCCTTCTCCTGACTTTCTCTTCAGCCATTGGGACCAAGAGAGAGAGAGAGAGAGAGAGGGAGCCCCTCCGGCTGGAGGTATCTCCCACCTCCGCTCCCTCCTTTGTTTTTGCGCCTACCTTCAGGAAAGGTGGGCATCTCCACCTCTCTCTCTCTCTCTTCCTCTCGGTCCCAATGGCTGAGGAGAAAGTCAGGAGAAGAGGTGACTTTTGGTGCACACGCCGGGGTCTTCAGGCACGCCTCCGGACCCAAAGCGGGCAGGCAAGGGAGCAAGTGCGGCAAGTGTAGTTACTGGGATGTATAGTCACCAACCATCACATATAGTGCCACTTCCCCACCAGTGATGGAAGAACAATTTTATTTTTATGTCAACAGAACTCCCACTGACAACCGAAAAATATTATATCCAATGATTGGGGGGGGGCCAACCCAATCATACGTTTGATTGACCGTTAAAAATACTAACAGGGCGGGGCGCTATGCAACAACCCTCTGCTGCACCAGCTCCACTGGCTGCCGATATGCTACCGGGCTCAATTCAAAGTGCTGGTTTTGGCCTTTAAAGCCCTAAACGGTTCTGGCCCAACTTATCTATCCGAACGTATCTCAGCCTATCAGCCCACCAGGACCCTAAGATCTTCTGGAGAGTCCCTGCTCTCTATCCCACCGGCTTCCCAAGTGCGGCTGGCGGGAACGAGAGACAGGGCCTTCTCTGTGGTGGCCCCTCGGCTTTGGAACACCCTCCCTATAGAGATACGATCAGCCTCTTCGCTGATGGTCTTTCGGAAGAGATTAAAAACATGGTTGTGTAAACAAGCATTCAATTAGTTTGTTACTATTGAATTTATAGACTAAGGACTGGTTAATTATGGATGACGAACTCTGGACTGTGATTTTTGTGACGAGAAGCATGGTATTATTATTGGTGGCCCAATAATTTGTATTGTTTACTTGTTGTTGTTTTAAATTGTACATTGCTTTTAATTGCTGTAAACCGCAATGAGTCGCCGATTTAGGCTGAGATATTAGCGGTATACAAGTGTATTAAATAAATAAATAAATATTATACTAAACATTAATACTATTATTAATATACAAAATATTAATATTTATTGAGGATAAGTAAATATTACTGGGAATAAATGGGCAGGTGGGCTTGCCATTGGCACCAAAGCATAGTGAAATAAATTATTATGTAAATTATTATGTAATTTCTCCCATTTTTGTCATTTTAAGGAATGTCTAGACGTCCCCTGCCTTGCGTTGATGTGGCCCAGTAACAATATACCTGATATTAATATTAATATTTACTGTTATTTATTTGTTTAAAACTTTTATATCCTGATCTTCTCTACCTCCGTGGAGGGACTCAGACCGGATATTTGTAAATATAGTATTACTATTTAGTTGGACTATTATACTAAACATTAATAATATTATTAATATACATAATATTAATATTTATTGAGGATAAGTAAATATTATTGGGGATAAATGAGCAAGTGGGTTTGCCATAGGCACCAAAGCATAGTGAAATAAATTACCGTATATACTCTAGTATAAGCCGACCCAAATATAAGTCGAGGCACCTAATTTTCCCAAAAAACTGGGGAAAAGTATTGACTCAAGTATAAGCCGAGGGTGGTAAATGCACCAGGCACTGGTCAATTTCAAAATGAAAATAGATACCTATAAAATTACATTAATTGAGGTATCAACAATAGATACCAATAAAATTACATTAATTGAGGCATCAGGAGGTGAAATGTTTTTTAATATTTACATAAAACTGTAATTTGAGATAAGACTGCCCAACTCTGATTAAATCATTACATATCTTCAATGTAAATGTACTTACGTATCCTTCCAACAATAATAGAGTAAAATAATAAATATAATAATAATAATAATAAAGTAAAATAATGGAAATGCAATAATAACAGTAATAATAGAGTAGAATAATAAATGTACTAATAGAGTAAAATAATAAATGCAATAATAATAATAAAGTAAAATAATAAATCTCTATATATAAAAATGCTCTGTGCATAATGAGTACCTTAAAAACAAAAGAACCAATGAACGAAATCACACCAAATTTGGCAACAAAACGTCTCACAACACAAGGAGTGACCATCACTCAAAAAATTATGATTTTGTCATTTGGGAGTTGTAGTTGCTGGGATTTATAGTTCACCTTCAATCAAAGAGCATTCTGAACTCCATCAACGATGGAATTGAACCAAACTCGGCACACAGGACTCCCCTGACCAACAGAATATACTGGAAGGGTTTGGTGGGCATTGACCTTGAGTTTGGGAGTTGTAGTTCACCTACATCCAGAGAGCACTGTGGACTCAAACAATGATGGATCTGGACCAAACTTGGCACAAGCACTCAATACGCCCAAATATGAACATAGATGGAGTTTGGGGGAAATAGACCTTGACATTTGGGATTTGTAGTCACTGGGATTCACAGTTCACCTACAATCAAAGAGCATTCTGAACCCCATGAACAACAGAATTGGGGCAAACTTCCATGACCAACAGAAAATTCTGGAAGGGTTTGGTGGGCAGTGTCCTTTGGTTTTGGAGTTGTAGTTCACCTACATCCAGAGATCACTGTAGACTCAAACAATGATGGATCTGGACCAAACTCTTCACGAATACTCAATATGCCCAAATGTGAACACTGGTGGAGTTTGGGGGAAATAGAATCTTAACATTTGGGAGTTGTAGTTACTGAGATTTATAGTTCACCTACAATCAGAGCATTCTGAATCCCACCAACGATAGAATTGGGCCAAACCTCCCACACAGAACCCCCATGTAATAATAATAATAATAGGGTAAAATACTGTAAATGTAATAATAATAAAGAGAGTAAAATAATACATGAAATAAAAATAATACTAATAACAGAGTAAAATAATAAATAACCCTGACTCGAGTATAAGCTGAGGGGAGCTTTTTTCAGCCTAGAAAAGGGGCTGAAAAACAAGGCTTATACTCGAGTATATACAGTATTATGTAATTTCTCCCATTTTTGTCTTTTTATGGAATGTCTAGCCGTTCCCTGCCACGCGTCGCTGTGGTCCAATCTGTGTATATGTGTTTGTGTGTGTATATATTTGTGTATATGTGTGTTTGTGTGTATATATATTTTTTTGCACATGTGTTGTGGTTTTGCACATGCATTGTAATGTAATTTTTGTTATTTGGCTTTTGCCGTGTTTTTATGAGTGATGGTCACTCGTTGGCCTGAAAGTTGTATTGTGTCCAAATTTTGTGTCAATTTGTCCAGTGGTTTTTGAGTTATGTTAATCCCACAGACGAACATTACATTTTTATTTATATAGATAGTTGGCAGCCTCATCCATCCAGAGTGGGAAGAACTCAGAGTTGCGATGGCAACCAGGTAGTGGGAATTGTCATAGCAATAAGGCCTTCCATCCATTGAGAAACAACCCCCCCCCCCCGCTCCAAAAAATAAGAAATACATAATATATTAATATTAGGAAAATATGAGGTTCCCAAAATAATAGCTATGGAGTTGCTGGAGCATTTTGGGGGGCGGGGGGAGCTAATACAGGCGAAGCACCCCTTATTTGGAAATCCAAACAAGTAGCTGAGAGAGTGGCACCTTTTCGGTCTTTTATTGCATCTCAGCTTGTTCAGTTTCCTTTTCAGCCTCCTGAATGTTGCTTTGGAAGGAAGGAAGCACCTTGTTGATCCTGCCGAAAACCATTGCCATCCTGTCTCTCCACAACAGGTATCTCCTATGAATCTAAAGGTATTCAAGCTGAATCATGAATCAGTTATCTATCTATATATATAAAAATGCTCTGTGCATAATGAGTACCTTAAAAACAAAAGAACCAATGAACGAAATCACACTGAATTTGGCAGCAAAACGTCTCACCACACAAGGAGTGATCATCACTCAAAATATTGTGATTTTGTCATTTGGGAGTTGTAGTCGCTGGGGTTTATAGTTCACCTACAATCAAAGAGCATTCTGAACTCCATCAACGATGGAATTGAACCAAACTTGGCACACAGGATTCCCATGACCAGCAGAAAATACTGGAAGGGTTTGGTGGGCATTGACCCTAAGTTTGGGAGTTGTAGTTCACCTACATCCAGAGACTACCGTAGACTCAAACAATGATGGATCTGGACCAAACTTGACACGAATATTCCATATGCCCAAATATGAACATAGATGGAGTTTGGAAGAAATAGACCTTGACATTTGGGAGTTGTAGTTACTGCGATTTATAGTTCACCTATAATCAAAGAGTGTTCTGAACCCCACCAACGACAGAATGGGGCCAAACTTCCCACATAGAACCCCTATAACCAAAAGAAAATACTCAAGGCCATCCAGTCCAACTCCCTTCACCAGGACAAGAAAACATAATCGAAGCCCTCCTGACGAAGAGCCATCCGGCCATAGATATAGATAGATATGATTCTCACACACAGAGAGAGATATAGTATCATAGCTTTGAAAGGGACCCCTGAAGAAGGACAGTGATATGTTACATGTTCCAGAGTAGGCAAACCAGACATCAACACTGAGAAAGAAACAGCAAGAAATACTGTTTACCCACAAGTATAAAGAAATTACATATATTAGAAACCAACACTTTCTCGTTACTTTATTTTCCAGACCAACAGACTGGGCCACAGCAACGCGTGGCAGGGGAAGCTAGTATCATATATAAATTACAACTATCTATAGCTGGCCATCTGTTGGGAGGGCTAGGATGGTGCCCTCTTGCCTGGCAGAATAAAGGTGGACTCTATACCAACTCTAGTGTTCTGTGAATCTAAGGGTATTCAAGCTGCATCATGAATCAGTTATATATAAATTACAACTATCTATAGCTGGCCATCTATCGGGAGGGCTCGGATGGTGCCCTATTGCCTGGCAGAATAAGGGTGGACTCCATACCAACTCTAGTGTTCTGTGAATCTAAGTGTATTCAAGCTGCATCATATATCAGTTATATATCAATTATATCTATCTGTGTCTGGATGGCCATCTGTCAGGAGGGCTCAGATGATGCCTTTCCATCTGGCAGAAGGGGGTTAGACTGAATGACTTTTGGGAATATCTCCCAACTCTGGGATCTAAGGGTATTCACGCTGCATCATAAACCAATTATATCATATACAAATTATATCTCTCTATGGCTGGATGGCCATCTTTCTGGAGGGATCAGATGGTGCCTTCCTGCCTGGCAGGATAAGGGTGGACTCTATTCCAACTTTAGGATATTGGAGTGGCATCATAAATCAATTATATCATAATTATATCTATGGCTGGATATGTTGGGTGAGTGGGCTTATTAACAAAAGACCCTCCACATAAACATATAGCAGAGTAACTTATTAGTAGCAGTATGACCCAGCATCAGTAGCACAAAGTGACAAAAAGAACAAAAACACACAGTTATCTCTTCCATAGGAGGTTGTTCTTTGTAGCAAAATAATATGGTTGCACTATTTACAAAAACAAGGTTTCCATAACAGAAATAAAGTTCTTCATACTTCCTTCTTTGCTTCCACGCTGGGATTCTTTGTTATGCAGGTAAACAGCTTCGCTCTCACAGAGCCTCCTCTCACACCGAACTTACTCAGGAGTTTCACATAGTAGCTTTACACACTGTGGGGCCTTCTCACACAGACTAAGGCCTACCTCACATTGTGAGGCTTTCTCACACTAAGGTCTACCTCACACTGTGAGCCCTTCTCACACAGACTAAGGCTTACCTCAAACTGTGGGGCCTTCTCACACAGACTAAGGCCTACCTCACACTGTGAGGCCTTCTCATACAAAGGCCTACCTCACACTGTGAGGCCTTCTTACACAGACTAAAGCCTACCTCACACTTTGAGGCTTTCTCACACAGACTAAGTCCTACCTCACACCGTGAGGCCTTCTCATACAAAGGCCTACCTCACACTGTGAGGCCTTCTTACACAGACTAAGGCCTACCTCACACTTTGAGGCCTTCTCACACAGACTAAGGCCTACCTCACACTGTGAGGCTTTCTCTCACAGACTAAGGCCTACCTCACACTGTGGGGCCTTCTCACACAGACTAAGGCCTACCTCACACTGTAGGGCCTTCTCACACAGACTAAGGCCTACCTCAAACTGTGGGGCCTTCTCACACAGACTAAGGCCTACCTCAAACTGTGGGGCCTTCTCACACAGACTAAGGCCTACCTCACACTGTGAGGCTTTCTCACACAGACTAAGACCTACCTCACACTGTAAGAGAAGGCTGTGAGACCTTCCCTCACAGGCTGAGTCCTACCTCACACTGTGAGGCCTCTCACAGACTAAGACCTACCTCATACTGTGAAGCCTTCTCACACAGTAAGGCCTACCTTACAGTGTGAGGCCTTCTCACGCAGACTAAGGCCTTCTCACAGAGTGAAACCTTAATCCCACTGAGGTTTACCTTAGATGGATAGCTATTAATCTACAGGCATACCTGCTTATATAGAACTGCAGCTTTTGCAGAGCCATTGCTTCCATTTATCCCTTTCAGTGCTTGCCTCTTTAATTACATCATATTTGTAATTAAAAATGCCTAGTTAATTTTTAATATTTCTGACAGGATGGCCATCTGTCGGGAAGGCTCAGACAGTGCTCTCCTGCATGAGAGCATAAGGGTGGACTCGATTCCAACTCTAGGGTTGTATGAGTCACAACTGATTATGGCTAAGGCCTACATCACATTGTGAGGCCTTCTCACAGAGTGAGACCTTTCTCCCACTGAGGTTTACCTTAGACTGATAGCTATTAATCTACAGGCATACTTGCTTAAGTAGAACATCTTTTTCTGAGTCATTTCATCCATTTATCCTTTTCAGTGCTTGACGTTTTAATTACACATTTTTGTAATTAAAGATACCTCGTTAATTTTTAATATTTCTGAAAGGATGGCCATCTGTCGAGAGGACTTGAATAGTGTCCTCCTGCCTAAGAGCATAAGGGTGGACTCTATTCCAACTCTAGGATTGTATGAGTCACGACTGATTACCGCTAAGGCCTACCTCACTCTGTGAGGCCTTCTCTCATAGGCCTACCTCACACTGTGAAGCCTTCTCACAGAGTGAGACCTTTCTCCCACTGAGGTTTACCTTAGACTGATAGCTATTATTCTACAGGCACACTTGCTTATATAGAACTTCAGCTTTTGCTGAGCCATTGCATCCATTTATCCCTTTCAGTGCTTGACTCTTTAATTAGACATTTTTGTAATTAAAAATACCTAGTTAAATACCTATTTCTGATAGGATGACCATCTGTTGGGAGGGATTGGATAGTGTCCTCCTGCCTGAGAGCATATGGGTGGACTCTATTCCAACTCTAGGATTGTATGAGTCATGCCTGATTACAGTTATTAAACTCCTTCGTTTATTTTCGCTAATCACAACATTGCCTTTCGTGTCCAAACCGCCCTCCTGCAGTGTCGACTGCCTTCCTTTTCTCTTGCCCTCGGAAGAAGAGGAAGCGTATCATTGTTCCCTTGCAAACAGAAGCCGCCGCCGATCCCTCCGGGGAAATGAGCAAAGCTTGATCCAAACAAGATTAAGTGGCGCTGCCCCTCCGCAGCCCATCTGCTCCGCCAGGAAGATTAGCGGCTCCTTTGACAAAAACATATGTGCAAGGGTTGCGCTCATTAGGGTGACTCTTTTGTTTGGCTCCTTTGCTGGTGGTTGATGCCCAGCAGGAGCCGAGAAAGACTCATGCGGCAACATTGGCATCATCCATCGGTAAGAAGGCCATTTCTCATACTGAAGCATAAAGATATCAATCTCGCCACTGGCACCAATTATAGAGAAGTGTGAGTTATCTAACACCAAGTATCCCACAGCGGCACACCACTGTAAAGGATTATATGTAATATCACACTACTGGACGCTAGTATGGTAGCGAGATGATGTTAGATGTATGTAATGAGTGAACACTGCTTCGGTCTTCTTTTGGTTTAATGCTGCCACCAACCCAAGATGCCTTAGGATTTTTAAAGTGAGTTTCTGAGGTAAACTTTTCCCCTTCTGCCAACACAACTCTTCCCTTAGCTCCCAGAATGAATGTTTGGATAATAGAACTTCCTGTGGTATTAGGAGGTTAAAGAGACTGTAATTATCGCAAAGGATTACCGATAGATTGAGGAACGATAGAGACTTTATGAAAGTTAAATAGAAAAAAATTATTTATACAAAACAGACAATTAACTTCTTCTGAGAGGCACAAAATGTTTGACTTGTTACAAAAGTGTACTATAGCTTGATGGTTGCTTGAAAAGAGTTGCTTCACTTGGTTACATACAGAGCTAATCAAACAGATATAGCTGCTGGTTACAAAAATCCCTCATCCTACTTCAGAGAAGTAGCAATGAGTTTCTGACTAACCTAACCTAGGTAGTCCCCTGAGTTATCAGCTAACTCTCCCAAAGTTCTTACAGCTAACTAACTCAGTCTAGAGAGGTAATCCCTTGTGCTATCTCCCACAAGAAATCAGATTGCTGCTTGACCTTTCCTGTCAGCTAATTAGCCCTTCGGCTGTTAGGAATTATGGGAATTGAAATCCAAAACACCGGAAGTTTGCCCATGCCTGGACTAAAGAGAAAGCAACCTTGTCTGGAAAGTGTTGATAAGTCAGCTGTTTTAATATAACCAGAGTGAGGATAATTTTTGACTGACCCCCGTATTTGTCCGGCATGTTAAAAGCCTCACTGCCACAGTCACCATCCTTCTCTCTTTCTTCTCCATGATCTCAGGCAAAGTGAAGGTGGATGGATGACCCTGGGACGGCAGGACCCTCTTGGGCCTGGGGAGCAGAGTGCTTTGTCTGCGGCTCGGCTCTCGCAAGATGCGCATCACCTTCTGCCAAGGTGTGTTGGGCGTCGCCATTGCGGTCAACCTGCTGGTCCTGTACTACATCTCCAGCCTGCAGCAGCGCCTCTTGCAGCGTCACCGGGACCACCCGCACCACAGCTCCCGCTCCTCACTCTGTCCTACATTGAAACCTGGTTTAACCGTCCTCATCCGGGAATTCGAGGACTTCGAGAACTACGTCCCTGACGTGGTGCGGTCCTTCTTGAAGCAGGACCCGGAGCTGAATATAGTCGTGGCGGCTGACCGCTTGCCCTACCCTCCTATGCTTCTCCCCAACACTCCTAACATCCACGTCGTCGTCCTCAAGCCTTCCCCGGACCGGCCTGCCTATGTGTTCAAACCCGAGATGTACGTGAGGACAGAATACGTGGCCTTGGTGCCCGACGGGGTGAAGGCGGACATGGCGACGGCCCAACTGGAGCAAATGTTGGAGGAGTTCCGGAGCAGCCAAACTAAGGTTGAGATGGTGGCAGCTCCGGTCCGCTCGCCAGCCCCACTCCAGTGCCTGAACCTCAAGGTGAGCCTTAAAGAATGGACGGCCGAGTATACGACGGCCCCTCCTGCCTCTAGACTTTGCACGGCCTTGACCGGGGAAGCCGTAGTCCTCCTCCGCACCAAGGACTTCTTCAACCTCTCCCTCCCCTTGGCCCGGCCCTTGTTGACCTCCCTCTTCGTCCAGACCTCGCTCCGAGGCTGGGCCGTCCGCGTCCTGGACGTTTCCTTCTCGCTCCTCCACCAGCCCTTGCTCACCTCCTCTCACAACCAGTGGAAGGCCGACAACTTGGCCAAGGCCAACCGCCTACAGCTCTTCCGAGACTTCGGCCTCAAGCGGGTGATCCTGGAGGACGGCAAGGAGCAGTGGTTCGGCTGCGGCAAGGAGACGCCGCGCTGCTTCGGCACCATTCACGATGACACCCCGGATTACCTCTACCAGGACCGCTGGACCCCGCCGTGCTGCCTCCGCGCCTTGAGGGAGACCGCCAAATACGTCGTCAACGTCTTGGAGACCTCCGGGGTGCGCTACTGGCTGGAAGGGGGCACGCTCCTTGGGGCGGCCCGCCACCAGGACATCATCCCCTGGGACTACGACGTCGACCTCGGCGTCTACTTGGAGGACATCCCCAACTGCGAGCTGCTGAGGAACGCCGAGTCCGGCTCCGTGGTGGACGAGAAGGGCTTTGTCTGGGAGAAGGCCATCGAGGGGGACTTCTACCGCGTCCAGTACAGCGAGCACAACCACTTGCACGTCGACCTGTGGCCCTTCTACCCCAAGAACGGCTTGATGACCAAGGACACCTGGATGGACCACCGGCAGGACATCGAGTTCCCCGAACACTTCCTTAAGCCCTTGGTGCCCGTCCCCTTCGCCGGCTTCCTGGCCTTAGCGCCCAATGACCTCCGCGGATTCCTGGAGCTGAAATTCGGTGTAGGGGCCATCGAGAAGCCAGAGTACCCCAACCCAGCCATGAAGAGCATGGAGAAGGGGAGCTGAGGGGCGGTCTTTTGGCATTTCAAACCTTTGGCCTTCCTTTACCCATCAGTGAGCAGAAGCAGTGGGTCCTCAAAGTGTTTACATGCCCATTTACTGTCTTTTGTCATGTGTACAAACCGGGGAAGGTGTTTACAACACTGCGGCCTCTTTCACGAAGTACTTTGATGCCACTTTGATTGCTATCTGGAATCTTGGGATCTGTAGTTTGGTGAGCTCTCAGGCACAGAACTATAAACTGAATGAGATGTAGTTTTACGATTACATGGCAGGATTGGACTAGATGGCCCATATGGTCTCTTCCAACTCTATTATTCTATGATGATGATGATGGTGGTGATGGTGGTGTTTATTTATACCCAGCTTTATCTCTCCTGAAGGAGACTCAAAGCGACTTAACATACTATTACATTGCAGGGGATTGGACTAGATGGCCCATGTGTCCCCTTGGGGAGAGAGGGCCAAATAATAATAATAATAATAATAACAATAACAATAACAACAACAACAATAATAATTGGCAGCCCTATCAAGATGTGTACAAACTGGGAAAGGTGTTTACAACACTGCAGCCTCTTTCACAAAGTACTTTGATGTCACTTTGATTGCTATCTGGAATTCTGGGATCTGTAGTTTGGTGAGCTCTCAGGCATAGAACTATAAACTATGTGTCCCCTTGGGGAGAGAGGGCAAAATAAGAATAACAGCAACAACAACAATAATTGACAGCCCTTTCAACATGTGTACAAACCGGGGAGACCAAGGGGCTTGTTTATAAAGCTATTGTCCTCCCAACCCTGCTATATGCCTGCGAAACGTGGACTGTCTACAGACGTCATAAGCAACTCCTGGAACGATTCCTCAGCGTTGCCTCCAAAAAAATTCTTCAAGTGCAGCATTTTTCCGAATGAAGCAGAGCATGTTTGAGGACTGGGACATCCGTAAGGAGACCAAGGTGCTTGTTTGTAAAGCTATTGTCCTCCCAACCCTGCTCTATGCCTGCGAGACGTGGACTGTCTACAGACGTCACATGCAACTCCTGGAACGATTCCATCAGCGCTGCCTCCAGAAAATCCTGCAAATCTCTTGGGAAGACAAGCGGACAAACGTCAGCATGCTGGAAGAAGAAAAGACCATCAGCATTGAAGCGATGGTCCTCCGCCATCAACTCCGCTGGACCGGCCACATTGTCCGGATGCCCGACCCCCGTCTCCCAAAGCAGTTGCTCTACTCCGAACTCAGGAATGGAAAATGGAACGTTGGAGGACAGGAAAAGAGATTGAAAGATGGGCTCAAAGCCAACCTTAAAAACTCTGGCATAGATACCGAGAACTGGGAAGTCCTGGCTCTTGAGTGCTCCAGCTGGAGGTCAGCTGTGACCAGCAGTGCTGCAGAATTTGAAGAGGCACGAATGGAGGGCGAAAGAGAGAAACGTGCCAAGAGGAAGGCGCATCAAGCCAACCCCGACCGGGACCGCTTTCCACCTGGAAACCAGTGCCTTCACTGTGGGAGAAGATGCAGGTCAAGAATAGGGTTCCACAGTCACTTATGGACCCACCACCAGAACACCGAACTTGGAGGACCATCATCCTCGGACTAAGAGGGATCGGCTAAGTAAGTAAAGTCAGGGTTTGTTTGTTTTTAGTAGCCTTTCTTAGCTCTATAATAGCCCAATATAAGGCAGCTTTCCTCTTTCTCCTACTGCCTTCCGACTTCCCTTAGCAATTATTGTCATTTCATGATATAGCGGGATGTCGTCATTTTGGTTTTGTTTTGAGATTTCACGCTCTGAAACCCACTCATCTCACCCTCAGTCGACAAGTAAACTTCCCAAGATGCCTTGAATATTAAGCAAGGACCATTAAAACCAGTTCAGGACTCGTCTCTAATGGTATGGAAAAGATGTCCTCATTTTCTTTGGTGCCATTCATACAAGTCGTTAACTCTGGTGCTGGGTGTGATGGGTGTTGTATTCAGGGGAAAAGTTATTGTTTTAAATGAACGACATGTCAAACGACGTGGCAACCCCGTTCCTGGGTATTGTGCAAAATGCAAAGATTGATGTAAAATAAACACTGATGTGCAAACACTGAACGATTTGCCCAGATGTCATGATTATATTAGTTTTCCTCCTGCTTTTCAGAATCGAGATGAGAGAGTGCATCTATACCAGGCATGAGGAGGAAAAGGAAAGGGCCCGAGGCTGTTAGGAATTGTGGGAGTTGGAGTCCAAAACACCCGGAGGGTCCAAGTTTGCCCAGGCCTGCTGTAGAGAAAATACTAGCTGTACCCACCACGCGTTACTGTGGCCACCCTTCCCTCCCTCCCTCTTTCTCTCCTACTTTCTTTCCTTCCCTCCTTTTTTTCTTTTCTTCTCTCCTTCCTTCTCTTCCATTCCCTTCTTTCCCCCTTTTTCTTTCCCTTTCTCTTTCTCTCCTTCCCTCTTTCCTTCCTCCCTTCCCTTTTTTTCTTTCCTTCTCTTCCTTCCTTTTCTTCTTCTCTTCCTTCCCTCTTTCCTTCCCTCCCTCCCTCCTTCCTTCTTTCCTTCCCTTTTTTTCTTTCCTTCTCTCTTTCCTTCCTTCTCTTCCTCTTCCCTTGCTTCCCCCTTCTTTTCCTTCCTCTTTCTCTCCTTCCTTTCCTTCCTTCCCTTTTTTCTTCTCTCCTTCCTTCCTTCCTTCCTCCTCTTCCTCTTCCTCTTCCTTTCCTTCCTTCTTTTCTTTCCCTTCCTCTTACTCTCCTTCCTTCCCTCTTTCCTTCTCTCCCTTTTTCCTTTCATTCTCTCTTTCCTTCCTTCTCTTCTTCTTCCCTTCCTTCCCCCTTTTCTTTCCCTTCCACTTTCTCTCCTTCCTTCCCTCTTTCCTTCCTTTTTCTTTCCTTCTCTTCCTCTTCCCTTCCTTCCCCCTTTTATTTCCGTTCCTCTCCTTCCTTCCTTCCCTTCTTTCCCTTTTTTCTTTCCTTCTCTCCTTCCTTCTCTCCTTCTCTTCCTCTTCCCTTCYTTCCCCCTTTTCTTTCCCTTCCGCTTTCTCTCCTTCCTTCCCTCTTTCTTCCTTTCCTTCCTTCTTTCCTTATCTCATTCCTTCTCTTCCTCTTCATTCCCCCCTTTTCTTTCCCTTCCTCTTTCTCTCCTTCTCTCTTTCCTTCCTCCTTTCCCTTTTTTCTTTCCTTCTCTCCTTCCTTCCTTCTCTCCCTCTTCCTCTCMTTCCCCCCTTTTCTTTCCATTCCGTTCTCTTCCTTCCCTTTTTTCTTTCCTTCTCTCCTTCCTTCCTTCTTGTCCTTCGCTTTTCTTTCCCTTCCTCTTTCTCTCCTTCCTTCCTTCCTTCCYTCCCTCTTTTCTTCCTTCCTTCGAGGCCTGAGGCTGTTAGGAATGGTGGGAGTTGGAGTCTGAAACACCTGGCAGGGCCCATGTTGTCCCATGCCTGAGATAAGAGGGAAGCCGGATCCTCCGATGGTAGAAAAATAATGAAAGGTGATGAACAGGAAAAGGAAGCTCCTTTCCCCCGATGCAGGAAACAGATGGTCCGAAACGGGAAGTGGCTTTTCTGAAGCCATAGAAGGAAACATCCAATCCCTGGACACATGACCGCATTCCCACAACAAGAAGAGGTTGGAAGTATAACCGGTAGTATGTCTCCTATTGTTCTTAGATGTGTCACAAATGGAATATCACCACCAAAGCATCCCTGCAAGAGGGCCATTCCTCTGTCTCATAAATATACTTATTTCAAACATTTATATTCTGCACTTCTCACCCCGAAGGGGACGCATTCCATGCCGGAACATAAAATAACTATAAATATACACAAACACTAAAAACAGTTAAATCTGTATTGTCAAAGGATTTCACGGACAGAATTGCTGGGTTGTTGGAGGGTTTCCGGGCTGTCTGGTCATGTTCCAGAAGCATTCTCTCCTGACATTTCGCCCACATCTATGGCAAGCCATCCTCAGAGGTTGTGAGGTCTGTTGGAAGCTAGGCAAGTGGGGTTTATATATCTGTGGAATGATGTCCAGGGTGGGAGAAAGAACCCGTATGTTTGAGGCAAATGTGAATGTTGTCATTGGCTACCTTGATTAGCATTGAATAGCCCTGCAGCTTCCTGGTGGACAACTTCCACATTCACACCTGCCTCCAGCAGACAAGAGTTCTTTCTCCCACCCTGGATATCATTCCATTCATTGTAGGCAAGGGTGAATGTTGCAGTTCGCCACCTTGACTAGCACTGAATAGCCTTGCAGCTTCAAAGCCTGGTTGCTTCCTGGTGGACAATTGCAACATTCAAATCTGCCTCCAGCAGACAAGAGTTCTTTCTCCCACCCTGGACATCATTTCACCTGTTGGAACCAAGTGTGAATTTTGCAAGTGGCCACCTTGATTAGTACTGAATAGCCTTGCAGCTTCAAAGCCTGGCTGCTTCCTGGTGGACAATTGCAACACTCATATCTGCCTCCAGCAGACAAAGAGTTCTTTCTCCCACCCTGGACATCATTCCATCCGTTGGAGGCAAGGGTGAATGTTGCAATTGGCCACCTTGATTAGCATTGAATAGCCTTGCAGCTTCAAAACATGGCTGCTTCCTGGTGGACAATTGCAACATTCATACCTGCCTCCAACAGACAAAGAGTTGGAGGCAGGTGTGAATGTTTCAATTGGCCACCTTGATTAGCATTTGGTGGCCCAACAGTTTTTAGGCGTGGCTTGTTACTGTCTGGGGGAATCCTTTCTTGAGAGGTGATTAGCTGTTGCTGATTGATTCTTGTCAGGAGTTCCCATGTGTTTGAGTGTTATTCTTCATTGCCTTTCTTGAGAGGTGATTAGCTGTCCCCGATTGTTTCTTGTCTGGAGTTCCCACGTGTTTGAGTGTTGTTCTTTCTCCTTTCTTGAGAGGTGATTAGCTGTCTCCGATTGTTTCTTGTCTGGAGTTCCCCTGTGTTTGAGTGTTGTTCTTTATGCATTTTGCAAAATTAAAAAAAAATGACTTTTTCAAATAACCCAGGCAATGCCGGGTACCCAAACTTGTGTGTGTGTGTGTGTACACATATTTATTTATTTATTTACAGTATTTATATACTCACCCCGAGGGGGACTCAAAGCGGTTAGTATAACCTGGTTATTCTTTCTCCCTCTTCTCCTTCCTTCCTTCCCTTTTGTCTTTCCTTCCTTTTCCCCTTCTCTTCCTTCCTTTATTCCTTCCCTATTTCCTCCCTCCTTCCCTCTCTCCCTCTATTTCCTTCCATCCTTCCCTTTCACCTTTTAGCCTTCCCTTTTGTCTTTCCTTCCTTCTCCTTCCTTTCCCCCCTTCCTTTCTTCCATCCTTCTCTTCCTTCCTTTATTCCTTCCCTATTTCCTCCCTCCTTCCCTCTCTCCCTCTTTTTCCTTCCATCCTTCCCTTTCACCTTTTAGCCTTCCTTTTTGTCTTTCCTTCTTTCTCTTTCCTCCCTCCCCTCCTTCTTTCTTCCTCCTACCTTCCACCCTTTTGTCTTTCCTTCCTTCCCTCTCTTCCTTTTCTCCTTCCTTCCTTCATTCCCTGGTTACTCAAGCTTTTGTGTGTGTGTGTGTACCCAAAGTATATAGATGACTACTCAAACTACAAGAGAGGAGATTCCATCTGAACACGAGGAAGAACTTCCTGACTGTGAGAGCCGTTCAGCAGTGGAACTCTCTGCCCGGAGTGTGGTAGAGGCTCCTTGTTTGGAGGCTTTTAAACAGAGGCTGGATGGCCATCTGTCAGGGACTTTGAATGCATCCCTGCTTCTTGGCAGAATGGGGTTGGACTGGATGGCCCATGAGGTCTCTTCCAACTCTTTGATTCTATGATTCTATGAAAAGGTTGAAAAGCTCTGGACTAGGGGGTTTGTTTTTGTAGTAATCAGCCTTTGCCACTAGATGGCAGCAACAACCAACCTCAGCTCTTTGTAAACAGAGTAAACCTTCCATATTTCTGAGTTTTTATTTTTGCAGACTTGATTT